GCGAACATATCCCTGGATTATGGATTCTAAGGCTGACACTGACGACACTCAGCAGAAATCATGCAAGCTAGCCAGATGTAATTAATACGATCTTCGACAGCGTTCATGCTGATCCCATCCAGTAGGTGTGCCTAAGGTGAGTGTGACACAATTGTAAATAAATATCCAGAGATCCACAAATTTTGCTGAAATATGTACTGTTTTCCACTAAAAATATGTGTACGTTCACCGTAGAGAGGAGACTTCATTTAGCCTACAAAAACTCAAACTTGAGTGAAACCAGAGCATGTAGAGGGGGTGAGAAAAATTCTTGAACCAACCGATAGTGCGATGTTTCGAAGTTTACAGTAACGTACTTCCAAGAAAAAACTATTTAAAATTATTAATGATTCATTTGAATAAATATGAATGATGAAAAATAATTAAAATCAGATCGCCTTCATTTGTATCAATATGCAACACGGCAAAATTAGTGAGCACGAATAGTTACATCCACCATCCTGACGGTATTGTGTAAAAAACTGGGGACGCTGGAAGAACTTAAGAACGCGTAAAACCGAGCGCTTTCGTTTATTCGGATATGCAAAACGGGTGGCCTCAAAGTTTGAATAGTTGCATCCAAACGTTGTAATCTACTTTAAACCTATGGGAATGTATCGATTCTTGGAGGGGCCAGGTGCTCCGACAACAATCGATTATTTAACATAAGTTTAAATGGAGGAAATCCAGTATTGCCAAAATACTGGATCCGCTTCTGCTGCCGCGGCCGTCCTTCTCATTGGGTAAAGCGTCCAGCCCACCTTCAAACTAGGGGCTTCAAAGAGGCTGATCGATGGAACTGTTGACTGTTGCCTTTCAAAGATCGTCGGGCCGACGATCTTTGAAGGTAACCGATGTGTTCAGGATACATCACAGATCAGATCTTGAAATTTTCAAGGAATTCCGTGCAGAAATGGCTGAGAAATAGAAGAATTGGTGCCAGTTGGAGAGCCCCAGTTTGAAAGTGGGCTGGACGCTTAAGAGTTAAGTTCGAAAGACAACGATCAGATATGCCTAATGATGACTAATGACCAAAAAATTGAGTGATTCGTTTAGCAAACCTATCCTAAATTGCAAAAACCCACCAAACAAAACGCTCGCCCGACATTCATCAGTCATCATAGAGCGAATTATATCCTCATAAATCATCATAAGACGAAAAATAGCGTTGACCTTCGAACTCGTCTTTTGCCGCACTCGATTGCATTGTTAAATAATTGGCAATGCGGGGTCTCCAACACTTCACAATTCGTCGCCCCTAATTTCTACGTGAGCCCTGTTTTACAGTTTATCTATGCTTTCGAAGGCTCATGCAGAAATTGAGATGCGATTTATGTCAGAGGAGACACGGATTTATGCAAGGTTTCCCAGGGAGGTAACGGATCATACTGTATGGTTCGCAACTCGTAGAGTCAAAATAATACATTTTTAAAGCCTATTTTGCTTCGAAAACGCCTCCCCTTACAGGAGCTCAACCCGCCTTCTTAAGGAAAAATCTTCACTTCTTTCCCAAGTATGCATATAATTTTGCTTTTACTTCAGCCATGTGTGGTTTATTCTATGTATGTCCTATAAGTCCTTTCATTTTGGAGCTAAAATTAGGATCATAAGTCAATCATCAGCCATCGATATTTCCCTTGACCGTCGCATGAGAAGATGCCGAGTCCCCGAAAGTACACTGGAAAAAAAAAAAAAAAAAAAAAAAAAAAAAAAAAAAAAAAAAAAAAAAAAAAAAAAAAAAAAAAAAAAAAAAAAACACATTGGATCTAGAGTCCAGATTCTTAAAAACATCAACAAGAAAAAATACTCTTGATTCAATCAGATTTAAGCTTAAATCAAGGACCAAGCCTCTTAATTTGAGCGGATTTCCTTTTGATTTAAGCCTAAATCTGATTGAATCAAGAGTCCTTTTTCTTGTAAATGTTTTCAAGAGTCTGGACTCTTATAGATCTAATGTGTTTTTTTTCCAGTGTGCAGGGTGTTTACAAGTCCGGAATTTCCAGAAAGTCCGGAAATAATACTGATTTTTAAGGGCGTTCCGGAAGTACTGAAAAAGTGCAGAAATTCCGCAAAAAGGTCCGGAATGCTTTAAAAATTTTTGTCATTTTAGTCAAAATTTCAAATTTTTGAAATTTTTCGAATTTCGCCAAATGGAGGTACTGAAAAAGTACGGAATTTTCCTGTTAGAGGGGGTACTGAATTTCTTGAGAATGCACTGAAAAAGTACTGTAAAAGTACTTATTTTTGACCAGCCTGTTTTAGTAGACACCCTGTGATATCTTCTCAAAACCATTTTATTTCTAGGTAGATCCAATGTGTTTTTTTTTTTTCCAGTGTAAGGGTATTTACCATTGCCAGGATACCGAAGGAAAGTCTCTAATTGTATCGGTCCAAAGTGCCAAGGTCGCTCATCTTCAGATATCGTATCTAGCTGTCAGCTCCGGCTCCGGGGAGTAAAGGCTAAAGGCCCGACGCCAAAATTCCTGAAAATGACAAGTCCTGCCCTCGTCGCGTTCGCGTGGCTGACCCCGGCCGATGTATTCGATAAAAATCTTCCGTCTGCCCGTCGGCGCGCCGCCGTGGCGCTATGGGCTCGGGGTAAACGTCAATTAAGGGAGTTAATTTGCGAGGGAAGGATCGGGAGTTATGCGGAACGCGTGGTCGGAGCAGGAACAATTGCCGTTCACTATGCTAATTTACTTTGGGATACGCGGCTCGCCGCCGACCCCAAAGGTCGCCGGCCTGTATCCCATTATGTCCCAAGTCGCCGCTCGCGAAATGATGTTCCAACGTAGTCATGGCGATTTAAGATCGATTTTTATAAAAAAAAAAAACCGATTTTGGACTCACAAATCGGATCGATATACTTATTGTTATAGTGCCTTAAAAGGGAGGGTATGACCACTTCGGTTTCCACCTCTGTTTATCTCAGCTATCTTAGACTGAATGGAGCCTTCTGGGACCCAAAAATGGTGGATACTACAAGTAAATGTAATACAAAATGACCTAAAATGTAGTTTTATTTGCTTACAGCAAAAATAAATTAACCCACATGCACTATTGCGACTTACTTACATAATTTTACGGCTATAATCGTGTGCAATTTTCAAGAAGAATCATCTAAGATCCGAATCACCCCCCCCCCCCCCGGATCCTGATCAACCAAAACAAAGCACCGCCATTTTTGGATCCTAAACTCCTCCATGGGGCGGGGGGCCCAGTGCCCATACTCTTCCTATTGAGGTACTCTACTTAACGTCGGAATGTGATCGGAATCGATTTTTCGAACTGCCAAGCGATTTAACTCGATAAACAATTAAAGTAGAACTATTTTTGTCGAATACCTACTGGTTCAAATTTTGAAACCTGCGATCGGGTCTGTGAAAGGGGACCTTATCTTTTGGAAGAAAATTTTCCTCAACTTTTTGAAAGTGCATAGAGGAAGAGAATCTAGAAATGTTGATGCAAGTTTGACCCCAAACTCTCAAAAATTGCAGGAGATATTAGTTCTGAAGTTCCGAGACAACATTTTTAGGTTGTCGAAAAACGTGGTATAAAAAAGAAGACAAGGTTCATTTCCACAGATTCGGTCACATGGATAGTTGGCAGCAACGAAGATTGAATCCCATAGATCGAAGTAATTGATTTTGGAGAAAGTCTGTTCCTTCAGATTGATTTAGAGCTGTAATCGATTTTAAGTAAAAATCGAAAAAAGATGTTCCGCAAAAAATCGTCATCACTATGCATATCCGTCGTACGCGGAGACGCTGGAAAATGTAACATTGACCTTAAATCCAGACAGCTACAAATGAATGCGAAGTATGTGCCTCATGACGCAATGATACGATAGTATCAAGGCCGACCCTACACGAGCGTTTACGAGGGGTGCAAAAAATGCCCTATCTTCCGATCTGCAGATCGCGGAAAACGTCAAGCAAATCAAGCCTCGTGGGGCAATCTCCCATCGATTATCATTCAGATCACAATTTTCTTACATTCATAGTTCACGTTGACGCTACTCTGAAGAATAAATATGAAAAGTGGAGACTTTTCTCCCCTGAACTTCGAAGATAAATCATGAGGGGGAACATCAGGATTTTGTTCGGATTTTGCTTGAAAGGGCCACCTTCATTACTAAAAACGCTCTGACACCCCTGCCCCCTAAATTTTCATTTTTTCTCACAGTTCATTCTACCATTCTACTTGACCGATTTCTACGATCTTTATGCGGCTATCGACAGGGGATGGACCAATGACCATGGATACACCCGTTCTATTAAGTTCGTCCGTTTTAAATATCGATCGGGTCGATGATAATAATTTTTAGGGCTATGTTAGGATATGGTCCCTAGATGAGCCCACTCCATTCAGATTAACTTATGGAGGCCCGCGAATCGGGCTACAGAGTAGACGAAACGCTCTCTGGGGATTGAGCCGCGCATCGGGCAGGGGCACACCCCCTATAGTACAATGGTGCGTAGCTTTGTCGGTCCTTCAAGAATTGCATTTTTAATCAAGAGAGAAAGAACCGATCTCTATGATTATTTCTTATTGTTTCAGTTATGATTGCCCAGTTTAGGGCTGTGGTCCCCAAGTCTCTTTGAACAGAAATTAACATCAAAATTTTCATCACCGTGCAGGTAGCGTCATCATGAATATTTAAAGGTAAAATTTTCTGAAGCTATGGTAAGGGAGAAAGTGAATAGGACATAAGGAAGAACGCCGTATGAGCCTTCAGGCGTTGCCAAATTTCCTCTCGGAAAATATCCATTTTTGAAGAAATTTGCGAATGTCTCTCCTTAAAACTTTCACTTTCGGATCAGATTACGGACAAAATTCTCTGAAAAATCGGAGAAAAAATACTTGCAAATTTTGCCGAAAATTCGTGATTTGTCAAAGGAATTGTGGCAACGTATGAAGGCTCATACGGCGTTCTTCCTCAGCACGGCAGAGATACTTACAGGCTTTGAGGGCGGGCTCGGACATGCCGCTGGCTTCATATTTGGATCGGAGCTTGTCGTTGATGAAGGAGCCGGAGTTGATGACTCCAAAAGCTAGACCGTTGCACAGGAAACTCGCCAAGACGATCGTCCACGCCCGAGCACCCCCATCTGGGGGGCTCGCGTCCCCTCCCCCCGGCCCGGCTCCCCCTTCCACCGTCTCCTTCGCAGCCATCCTCACTCTGGGCACAACAAAAACGAACAAATTACTATGCGATAAGCTTTAAAAATCTGTCATGATGGGTCCTCAATCGGCAATCGAGGGATAAAACACTCGCACTCGAAAAAAAAAAACACATTGGATCTACAGTCCAAACTCTTGAAAACATTGACAAGAAAAAGGACTCTTGATTCAATCAGATTTAAGCTTAAATCAAAAGGAAATCCGCTCAAATTAAGAGGCTCGGTTCTTGATTTAAGCTTAAATCTAATTGAATCGAGAGTATTTCTTCATGTCGGTGTTTTTAAGAGTCTGGACTCTAGATCCAATGTGTTTTTTTTTTCCAGTGCGGAAATTGGGCAACAAAAAATTTAGAAATTGACGTTATGGGGTTCTAACGACCCCCTTTTTAACCGGGTGTAAAGATAAATGTAAGAAGGAACAAAGGCGCTAGGACTACTCACCCACAGGGCCGGATTTACTTGCTTGCCGCCCATGGGTCGCCTGTATTTTGCCGCCCCCTTCTCAATCATTTTGAAACATCAATAAAAACCATCAAGTGAACGTGCCGGAGGGGGCGGGGTGCATAAGACGCAAAAACTCGTGTTGAACACATTTTTTGCGAAAGCCCTGTCAACACTACTGGCAAAATTTCACGGAGCTTTGCGCGAAAGTTAAGTTCCGTAAACCTATCTCTGTGTGGACAAGGCCTTCCATTTACAAATGAACGAAAATATTATGAAAGAACAAACATAAATGTTCTTTAATAATTTAAACTTCCGCCGCCGCGCCGCGCTGACCGCACTGTGTTTGGCGCAATACATGAAGTATTCCTACAGTCTTGTCTGCGCTTTGTGTTTCACGCCAATCGCTGCTGCACGCACAAAGTTTGACGTAATGCGCGAAGTATTCATGCAGTCTTGTAGGCGCTATGTGTTCCACGCCGCTCGCTGCTGACCGCAGCGACCGCACTGTCTCCCACTGTCTTCGACGCAATGCGAGAAGTATTCATGCAGTCTTGTAGGCGCTGATATGTGTTACATGCCGACCGCCGCGCCGCATTCATCTCAAGTTCTCGTCATCATTGCTCTCTGCGCCGTGCCGTTCCGGGCCATATTCCGTGTTCGGTTTCTCTCTTGGTCTTAACTCGACTAATTAAAGGTGCTGTCTATTGCATCACAGGAAGACGACGAAATTAGAGATATTCTCTCAGGAAATGAGAGATTTTGTCACCTTTTCTCGTTTGTAATTTTTTCTCTGAATCCGATTTTTCTTTAAAGCTACATTTAAAAAAAATTGCAAAATTTGCCGCCCCCTAAATTATTTTCCGCCATGGCCACCCCCTGAATCCGGCCCTGCTAACCCGCATTCTTTTCGCCCGTGGGGCGAAAAGAATAGGGAATAGTGATTTTCGATGTAATCTTGGTGTTTTAATGACCATCGCAGCAAACCGTCCATAACTTTTACTGGATTCTCTACACCGATAAAAATATCGATATTGACATTGGGAAAAGTTGCGAGAGGTAGAATTGAGCAGCGCTTTCGCGATCTCGCCTGGATAACTGAAAACTGAAGTTAGATGTCAAGTTCGCCTTCAACTCGACCTCCCCTACGACTTCCACGGGTAGTGTGTAATACATCTTGGTGAAAACTTCCTCTGTGCAAAAAGGCACATATACAAAAGTGCATGGGGGTCTAAATGATGTGGGTCAAGAGTTGTGGGTGAAAAGATCTGGGTGAATTAAACCGTGGGTCATGAGTCTGTGGGAGAGTAGTCCCGGAATGGGAACAAAAGCTGATAAAAATCTGAACAACATGTACAGTCCGGGGTGGACAAAATATCCTAAGACATTTGGACCGCGTAGTGGAACCAAGCCATATCGATTACTGCCGAATTTTACTGAGTGCTTTAATTTTTTACTAGAGTACGTTTGTGCGATTTCCTGTGAAAATTGTAAGGAATTTGCTTCGTACTATGCAGAAAATTAGCTGAAATTTGCGCAAAAAACCGCACAACCGTTTTCATGTAAAAAATTAAATTGCCTAATTAAATTTGGCAATAGTTGATGTGGCTCGGTTCCTCTATGCTTTTTTTTTCTGCTCCAAGTTTCTTGCATATCCACAACAATGAAACAGAGCTACTTCTTTTCTTTTCTGATGAAACAGAGATTCTGGCGCAACGTAGAAAGTTGGATGGGGCGAAACGCTTAATGCAACCATTCCGATTTCCAAGACGATAAAAATGCATATCCACGAAATGAAGGAGAACGTGAACTCTTTTCGGCTGACTAAGAGACTTTAACGCATGAATAAAAAAGTTGGATGGTGCAAAGCCACTGATTTTTCCGAAACTGGTATGCGAAAGCGTTGAATTTTTGAGGAAATGACTACGTCAGTGTTGAATTCATTTAGGAAATCATTGCTTAAGTATTGAAGTTTTGAAAAAATCACATCGAAAGCGTTAAATTCTTGCAAAATTGATAGGAAAGCGTTGAAATTTTAGAAAATTAATGTGACCACGCAGACCATGTGACCAATGGAAGAAGCCAAATAAACTGCAAGAAGAAGAAGGAGAAGAAGAAAAAGAAGAGGAGGAGAAAAAAGAAAAAAACCAATAATACAGTCTCTCGAGGAAATGAATAAAGAAATTCAGAAGACAACGATCTTTGTGCAAACGGCTCACGAACGCGGTGCATTTGAAAAGCCGCGATGTGGCCTAGATACGTCCATTTCGCGTTATGGAATGGATTTAATAAGACCGTCCTGACGTTCTTGATGTGATTGTTGCTTAATTTTACTTTGGTAATTTTATCACTGTAATCGGTTAACTTTATCTCTCGTATACACAACAAGTTCGATCGATCGGATCGTATTCGATACATCACGCAAGTGAGATTGTATTGACATCGATTGGTTAAACATGTAAACATAACCACAAAAATGAATTTAGAAATCTGAGGGAACGGGTTTTTGGTGATATATTTTTGATTTGTATGAATAGAAAATGGCTATGCATAGCGAGATTGATAGAAATTTTCTCATTTTCAGCTTTTCCAACTCCTAAAATTTTTGTTTGAGGTTATGTTCTATTGTTTTGAACCAAACGATACATCGAACCCCTATCGAATACGATCCATGGATCGTAGTACGCGTTCTTTTCAAAAGATGCACATGCAAGAGGAAGTTAGAGTCCCTTTATACCCAGAGTAACGACAACTCGATTATCAGCTGACTGGCAGCCGACCTTGGCTGGCCATGGAGGCCGAAACTAGTGCACTCAAACGAACGATATTGAGGGATAAGGATCAGGAATCCTGCGATGTCTGTCAAACAAAAACAACAACATCAACAAATTGATCAATTAAAACGAAAATTAGATTGGTTTGTGAATAATTTCTTAATCTATTTTCATTTTAGACCGATGGAAATAACAATTTACTCTTGATAAAGCACAATTAGGTAATATTTTCATTATTCTTGTTCACATTCGAGGTACCGCCATCTTGGTGCACTAGTTTCGGCCTCCATGAGCGAGAACCAATCAGAATTGGATTTTTTTTTTAGGCCACTTTCAGCCCAATCCTGGCCCAACCAAAAGTGAGTTGTCGTAACTCTGGGTATAAAGGGACTCTAGAGGAAGTAAGACAGGACATAAATATAGTTGAAACCCAAACTCCCGATAGTAATTATTTCAAGTATTGAAAAGTTTCTATAGGTGAGTAAAGGTGACGTCACTCTGGGACTTTCACATCCTTTCATTCGCGCCGCGTACGTTTTGTAACGTGATTGAATGATAGCAGTGGCCGAGAGTCAATCATTGAAATAATTAAAAGAACAAATCGATGTCAAAAACGGGGTCACGATCAATTACCCGTTTAAAAGATAACAATCCGGCACAGCTTTGAAATTAAACTGGTAGGAGTGCGGGCCCAAGTAGATAATTTGAAGTGACGGACAATCGTAGTTACGGTTCCTGTTCGATTAGTTAAAAAATGAATTGATACATACGCACACACACATACAAATACATCGATTTAAATCGATCACGGGAGGGGTTGATTCGTAAAAATAATGCTGATCGGCACCCCCTCCTTCCCTGTCACACCACTCACTTTTCATTCATTTTTCCGGTTCTAAAAATGTTTCAGAGGTCTTGTCTGTTCCTCATTAAAATCGGTGTTCTTCTAGATAAAAAAATTAGTGCTTGAAAAGCTGCATGCACAAATACGTGAAAAAAGCTGGTGAGTATAGTCCAACTAAAATAGAGATAAGTAAATATAATGCTGAGTTGACTTAGAGTAGAAAGAGCTACTATAGTTTTTTTTTAATCTATTTCTGTCAATGAATCTAACGCTTCGGATTAGTCGCAGTGGCGTGGCGTGCTTTGCGATATATTGATTTATCGGCCATTTAAACCTATGGAAAAGTATCGATAGACAGAGTGTTCGCAGGGAACACCTTAATAATCGATTATTTACCACAGCTTCAAATGGGGAAATATAGATAGATCGCAAAGCACGCCACGCCACTGATTGGTCGGATCCGTCAATTTTCTGGTGTTGAGCTGCAGATGACTGTTGGGAATGGATTGATAGGGTACGAATGTAAGCTTACTATGTTTCTTATAGAACGTTCGGAAGACGTTAAGACACGTTTAAAAAAAATCCAAAATCAACCCATAAGTGAGAAATGCGAAGGGTATTTAATTTATAAGAATCAGTGAATTCAAAATTCCGATTCTGAAAAAACCATGATCAACGTATCGAATCATTCAGCAGTCCATTTACATTATATTAATCGAACTTTGTTGTGAAATTATTGAGTGTGATAGGAGACATTTTAAGCAGGGATGCGACATACGGTCACGCGAGGGCAATGGGTTGGTTGCGTTATTATCACAGAATTTTGTTAGATATTAGAAGCCTCTCACAAGATGACTCATTATGTGGATTGCATTTTGCAAAAACGAATCAGGAGCATTGCAATGTTGCTAAGATTGTGCAACTTCACCCATTGCAATAT